AAAAAAAAAAACTGATGTCACTGGTGTAGATTAAGGTTTATCTATTCTGATCCTTGATGCGAGGTGTCTCTGGCAGCTCAGCCAAGCCTGACGCTCGACATCAAGGACCACAACTGATGACCTCTATGGAGAAAAGTGCAATGTAGAAGGCTCAACTGCTTGTTGTTTTAATTGTTTTATATATATACACACAACATTGCACTTTTTTGGAAATTGTGTTGGAATAAACTGTTCTCTCTTTGTGAGGTAAAGAATAGTAACAGATTCTGTTCTACATCTTTAAAGATGTTTGTTTACTTATTACCACGGTACAAAAACTACTAAATAAATAAATGTTTTGATTGATCAATAATTTTGCACAGTGCGTCTTCTTTTTTTTTTCTTATAAAGATTTTCCCACCTCGAGGAATGTATGTGAACGCTTACTCTGATTAATGTAGGAAAACAAAACAAAAAATGGTTTTAACACTGATTAAATTTAAATTAGCAACATTGTTGATAAACTGTATTTTGGGTGAATCAGGAATGTCTTTGGGTTTCGGTTAGTTGTTGTTTTCTTTGGTTGTCACAGTGACAAGTTGCTTGGCAGCTTTGGCAATGTCATAGGCGCACTGGATGACCTGAGTGACCAGCTGAATGCTCCGACGGGCAGGTTTGCTCTGCGGCGCTTCTGGCACTCTCCATTGGAGCCGGCTGCACTCGAAGTGAGCAGACACAGAGACCCTCGCACAGGTCTCCGAGGCGAATGCCTCTGTAAGGAAAAAAGGGGGGGAGGGGGGGGGATGATGGAGACTCAATAAGGGACTGACATGACAACGTCCATAAATAAACCCTCATTGTGGTCCATAGCCTGTGTGTGTGTGAGTAAACGTAAAACAAAGTAATCTAATAAATGGTAAACATAAAACTAAGTAATGCAATGAACAAGGTCTACCCAATATAAACAAGTCAGAGTAGATTCTGTTTGGTAGTTTTCAAACAAATCCCTTAATTGCTCGGGGGAGGGACATCGAGCTGTTTGTTGGGAGTCATCTTACCTTGGGAAAAAGGGCGGCCATCTCTTTCACAGCCACGCAGATCTTTTCTGAACAGGGCAGGAAGCTGCGGGAGATGGGAGACAAAATGTTGAATGGGCGTTCAACCACTCCTGTGCCATATATATATATATATATATATATCAATGAAACAGCTACCACAAACACTATTTATATTTATCATGAAACTAAAAAAGAGCAACCTGGAGTATCATTATAGTACCTATAAAAATAATTCTAAATATTTACACAGCTACGGTATTTCTGAGTAAAGCTTTATTATGTAACTAAACAGTGGTACAACTTTCCAGAAGAACCAGATTTAGTTGTCACAAAACTGCAAAAGAGGAGCAAAAACAACACTGAGTGAGCAGACAGCGTGTTGGTTGAGGCTTCTAAATAAACAGCGTTACTTTCAGTGACAATAAATACATCAACATCGTGACTTGTACTCAAACTGGAGGCAGTTTTTTTTCTGGCCGAAGACACCAGTATGCTAACAGTGGAAGCCAATAATCAAGCTGTGTGACCAGTGATGGCTTGGAAAGAAGTGCTATCTATATTTTCACATTCATATTATAATATTTGTGCACCAGTCACGCCAACAACCATACCAAGCCAAGTTAGCACACTATTCTTCAGAAAATTAAACAGAAAGGCATGATTTTCCACAATTATAGAATAAATAAATACACTCCTCATTTCAACTGGAGAATAACCGCGAGGAGGTGAAATGGTTAATATCTCACATGATGATTAAAAAAAGGAAAATTAAGTACAGTACTGTATAACTGACAAAAAACAACAAAAACCAAAAAAGGAAATGAATATATGGCACATACAGGAAAACCTCATCGACAAAACTAACTCGCTGTGGATTTGGCAGGACACAGGGGAATATATGGTCATGTGGTGTTTGTTTCCTGTCAGCTGCATTTAATGATCCAAGGCCTACCCCCAGCAGACACAGAGTTTGTAGGACACAAGAACAGAGGCCAGTCTATGAGGCTTAAAATCAGTAACTCTCACTACTGGTCCAGAATGCTGCTGGCTATCTGTATTACTGCAATCGCCTTGCAGCTCAGGTGTACATCAGTCAGTGGTTAGCTGGCTAAAATGAATGAAAACCAGCAGGGTCCCGGCCCCTGAGGACAACTATTGAAAACCACTGACCTAGAAGCAGCTCAGAGAGGGGATGAAACAGCAATTACCCTCTTCAAAAGGACAGGCAGAATGACAGAAACACAGCTGTGGTTGAAATATATGGCCCCATAGAGTTCAAGCTGTGGTTTATAGCGCATCAAATAATGAGAAGATCTGATTTTAGGAATGATCAATTTACACTTTTAAATCATAGCACGACTTATTAATTATATATGAATCCTTATCTACCTTTCATGTTTGGTCTCCTGGGCAGCTCTCAGAAGCTCCTGTATGTTCTTAGTGATCTGCTCGGTCTTACAGATGACGTCCTCTGTGCATGGCAGGGTGGCATCTTCCTCCCCCTCTTCCCCCGGCTCTACTGCATCAGAAGCTGGAGGGGGGCTGCTACAAATGAACAAAATCCATAATTACGACTTACTGCTGTATGCAAAGATACCGGTTTATACACTTGATCTTTACCACAATACAGAGTGTTGAATAAAAAAAGAGGTGAAAATTGCATATGGTGTTCCAGGCCATAACAAACATGGTTCCTTTTTAAGCGTGTTTAAACGTGTTTATTTTGGGAGTACACTGACTGTGACTTCACTGTGGTAAAACAAATGCAGTCTGGCTTGTAATTTGAATTTACAACAATGCAGCAGCGTTTAAGGCTGGGCATCACAGTTTAGTGCCTGTAGGTCCCATGTAAACCAAATGTTTATGAAGAACTAAAGCACTAAAATTGTTTAATAGTAGTTGACATGAAAGTAGCTATTGGTGTACTATATTCAGTATAGAACTGCACCCATTCATTTATAGCTACGCAACAAATAGCCAATAGCAGTGACTTTGACTTTTTACACTACATGTAATTAAATGGCAAAAACAGAGCTACATGATATGTGTAAGGCTGCTGGCTATTGCTCATATGTTGAGGTTTTTTAGCAACAGCAGGCAAGTGCAATTCCTTGTATGTTAACTTAGTCCTGTACAGCCAGACTGTTCCAATCAACAGCTCTTTCTAAACATCTGTCAAATCAATTGTAATCTAGCTTCCTCCTACACTAATATTTGCTTAACTCTATGTGACCCGTAAACTTTGTAAGCCTCTGCTACCAAAATGTCCAGAAACATTTCACTTAAAAGTTGAATAAATGTCTTATTCCATCTCATTCCTTCCTTTGACTTATTTCAATAAATTCTGAATGATCTCATAACTTAATATCAATTAAATCACTTTAAAAATTTGGTGCATACCAAAAATATTTGAAGAGCAAATTAGCTGGTTTTACCTAATAAATTAAATTTTAGTTTTTTTTTTTGGTATATCACTGGTGAAAATATAAACTTTGAAAGGATTAACTGTTTTTAAAATCTAAAATGTGTTGGATTTGAGTTTTGACAGTTAATGCATTTTTTTTGCAAAGGTGGGTACAAAGTACAAATGTTCTTACCCAGTCTCCTCCAGTTCAGAGTGGTTAGGCGTTGTGTCGTAATCATTCTCCAGCATGATACTCTGTCCTTCCAGACTACATCCCTATTGAGACATCAGTGCATTACCATTAATTAAATACAGTAATACTGTGTATGATTAGCACAAACATATCACCAGAGCAACTGTAGGCACATACAAATCAGAATCATGCATTTCTGAAATTGAAGTTCACACGTCAGACATTTTGTTTAAAAGCAGATGAAGAGACGAAGACAGGAAATAATACAACCAGGTCATTGCGTACTGAAGTGGATGCAATTAGTAGATGCGAAGAAATCTTGATGTCAACTGTGGGTGCACTTATCAGCAGCTAATAAGCACAGTGTGATGAGGCATTTTATCTCTCTTTCACAGGTACTGGACTCTGTGGTATTGGCTGTCTGATCATTGGAACAGCTTTCTCCGGTACAACATATCACCATCACTTCTGATGCTGACTTGAGCCAAAGCAGCTCAAGTTAAAGGTTCTCTGTGGATAAAAAGCTGGGAGTTGTTCAGATAGCTGAACTGGAGCAGAGGCACTGTGGTGCATGCAGGCAGGCAGGCGATACTGATAAAAAAAAAAAAGCAGTTTTAAAAGACACAGGTCAGGAGAGAGAAGACTGTGGGGTCAAGCAGGGGGACAGTTTTCACCATCCCCTGTGGGTGCCTCTGAACCGAGGGGAACTTCAGTACTTAACCCTTCGAGATCTCTCATCCCACGACCAGGACAGGGAAGAGGGGAAGGTAGGAAGGGAGGAAGCAGCCGTCCCCAAAGGACCCCTCCCAATCTAGAAAGGGGTCAAACCAAGTTGAGCATACTCATATTGAGATGCAATGAATGAATGATTGAATGAATGAATGAAAAACCAACACCAGCCCCAAGCCAGGCATCATTATTATGTCTTGTAAGGGCAATCCAGTGGGAACAGTGGTGCTTCTGTGCTTACGTTGGTTGGAAAGGGTTGTAAAATGACTCCATCCTCGTGCCGGGCTGTTTCGGCTCGGTGGGGGTACTGCCTCGGACTAGAGCCCGTCTCATACATGGACAGGGCTCGACCTCCGCGGGGTGGGTGTCGACCGAAGGGGGCCTGGAGGTGTTGTTGTCCGCTGGGGGTCTGCCATCGCAGTGTTGTGTTTTCGGTCTGCAGGGAGTTCAGCTGAAGAGAACAAAACATCTTTCAATTCAACTCTAGCTGGGGGATGATCTCCTTACAAAAGCTAGGGCCGACATCAATAATTGAGTAGAATACAGTTAAGCCTCCAGGAGAAAAGCAGTTCCTCTGTGTTGAGTTCATTGTCACCTCCCTTTTGTTTATAGTCTCGCATCAGTTTTTATCACAACAAAAGGTTTGTTTCACTGACAAATGAAATGCTGACGCACCGTGTTGATAAAAACTCCTGAAGTACGACCCCTTGAGAAACTGCTGCATAAGTGGTTGCCCTTATTTGCTCGAACAGCACTTAGAAACTGAAAAGAGTGATGGGAAACACGCCTTGCTCAGCTTTCTGTCTCACAATAACAGTCCACATTAGTATGTAAATGATCAGAAAGTTTTATCTTAAATCCCCCAAAGGTTGACTAACAAAACTGATGATGGTCTTTTTCTTAGTTAATTCATCTTAGTTAATGTGTCTGGCTGTGACAATATACCGAACATGAATATTAAAAGAAGATGACTTTAGAGGGTGGTTTGCTTATATGCTGGGAAATGTCTTGGGATTCCATTGTGTCAGCAACTGAGGTTTTGGTGGGTTCAAGAAGGGTGAAGAAGTTAAGGGACTGGAATAGCCACTTCTGTCAGAAAAAAGAAGCAGTATGGTTCAGGAGTAAATAAACCAGCAGGAGGAGGCAGTACATTGTGTTAACACTATCTCTAAGCCAACTGAAGAGAGAAAGAAAGTGGGCTGTGAAGAATCTTGAGGCGTGTGAGGAAACCAAATGAAATACTGCCATCTCCCAAAATGTGTGCGTAGGTGACAAACCTCCACAACATATTTTCTAGCCGTGCATATTTGGTCTATCTATAAGATGATACATTTAGTAACATTATCAGTATCATTATCAAGTATCTGGCAGCGGCAACCAAGAACAGGCACAAACAACGGACGAATTAACTTGTAGTTGCCTGTAAACCACAATGACTCAGTTTACACTTAGTCACTTCATGCGTATTGGGCAGATTGGAGAGATATAAGATCTAAAAAAAATTCAGTCATTGCATCCAAGAAAGATTCGAGACAGACTGAAATCTCATTGCCAAATGTTAAAAAACAAAATAATAATCCAAAACTGAGGCATTTGGTAGAAATAAGTTTTACAAAAAAAAGTGAGAATAGTGAAAACAGTCCACACCCAGGTCCGTGTATTTCGCTCAATAACCACGATGTTGAAAACAGAGGCTGCTGCTGACTTTTTTCAAGTATAATATTTAAGAGGTTGCAGCAATCTTAACAGAGGAGGCTCTATTCAAAATCTCAGCAACTGATACTGAAAAAACATGCATGTCTGAATACCACTGGGGCTAAGGAGAACACTTTTGTACTACCAAGAAAAGAAGAAGAACTGAGTGACGTGATACGCCTGGATCTATAAATATAAAGATCGTTTGTTCGTTGCCAATGCTTGCTATAGCCTTCTGGAGGTATCGGTGATCTAATTTCATTTTTGTAATGGTGGCCGCAGAGTTGAAAACTGGTGATTCACCCACACTCAAACTCTAATTACTGCAGCCTTAATGTAGGCTTGTGACTGGTGGCTGTTTAATGGTTCTACAGATTTACGATGTCGGATCATAACGTCCTCTGTGGATACCATTTGTTGATTAGTACTTGGTTCTTTTGACATCTGTGAATCCTCACTCTGTTTTAGACCACAGTAACATCCAATCCTGTTTTGCTGGTTAACTGAACAGCAGAACAGAGGAAGTCTGGTGATTGTTAATCATTACCACAGGAATTGTACCCCATCCAGAAACATAGCAGCCATTTTCTCTTTTATACCAGTAGTGAAGAATTTCAATTGAAATTATAACAAGTATCGAGTTATGACCTTCTACGGTATTTCCATCCATTTATATGTCAAAATCTGGTCTTCCCTGCAACTACAAATTCATGCACTGTATAATTCATACACAGGATAATTTTAAAAGGGGAAGAGGCTATGTCTGACACATTCAAACAGGCATGACCTGAATATAAATTACTAATGTCCGTGGGTGAAAGCAAATTACTCAGTGTCTCTGGTAACACGGAGAAGGATCAAACCTTGCACACATAATTTTAGAATTTGAACACTAAATGTGTTTTAGAGTCAAGAGGAAAGAAAGGCTACAAACACAGCAAGTATCAGAGAGGATGTAAACCATTAATCCAGTACAAAGTGACCCATAATCATGGATCCTGAAATATTAATGTGTACTACAATTTAATTTAAGAGATGTAAATCAAACTATGAGGGCAGATTGAGTACACAAGTGTAAACGATCTGCAGTACAATTCCCATTTTGCTTATAAAAGTGAATTTACCAACCTTGCTCTGCATCGACCGCAGCTCTTCACTAAGGTGACAGTTGACTTTAAGGAGCTGTTGTATTTTGGCTTCTGATGCAGTGAGCGCGCTCTTCACCTCCATAAATTCCTGCACTGTGATTGGTCCATCGGAAAGGTCGGATGACTCTGAGCTCTGCAGGAAAACATATTACACGGGATAGGATTCATTCAGTCAGTTTTTTATTATTTTATTTAAATATCTAGATTGTATCAAGTCCCCAAAAAAAACATTAACCTTGGTCCTTCTATCATTGCAGCTGTCTCCACAGGTGGCCTCTTGCACTGGATCTTCATCTGATGCCACACTGTCGTAATCTGGCTGGTCATTGTCCTGGCTCTCACTGTTATGGCGACTGTCTATTCCCTGAAGGATCAGCTCCACATTCTCTGAAGGCAGACCACCAGATCAAAGTATTAAAGATCAAACAGGCCCTACTGGGTACAGGCATCTGTATAAATAAAAAAAGCTAAGGAACACATTTTATTTAGCATTCAGTCCAAGTCAGGACTTCTTTTTTCTTCATTAGCCCTAACAATCCTCCTTTAGTATGCACATGGAAAACAAGGCTATGGTGTGGTTTGCTATAATATACAGAAAGCAGGAGTTTTCATTATTAAAGCCCCAATCCACCATCTGTGTTTAGCTACAATGCTGCACAAACATCAGCACATACGGTCCACATTCTAATTGTGGCCTTTATAGCCGAGCCCACACGATCCACATTTATATGCAGAACTCACGACTGACTCTTAATCTTATTTGCAACAACCAATTTAGGCTTTTTTCGCTCCTCTGTTTTGTCTCTATCTTTTTTTGTATATACTAAGGAACACATTTACTGCAATACAAAAGTGCATTAGCAAGAAAATTCAAAGTCTGTTGAAATTAAGAACTGAAAGACATATTGTACCTTTGGGACTTTCGCAGGAATTACCCCACTGCCGTCGTTTAGCATCAGTTAAAATATCAATGACCAGGGTGGCAAACTCGTGAGCACTAAACCGTGCCAATTTTTGACGACCCTGAGAAAAAGAACGTATCAAAACAGCGCTGTCAAATACAGTATTCATGTGACGAATTGAGGTTTAAAACAGGAAGTGACACTGATGCTGAACACTTGCCTGGTTTCTGGTAGATGAGTACTCTGGATTGACAGGCAGAAAAGGCACAACTGTGGTGTCGGTTACAAGTGTGCTGTGGTTCTGAGTGGCCAACCACACTGAAAAACACAATGCAGCACATACAAGATAGAAATGAAAGAGCAGGCATAAACAGCATTATATATAGAGTTTGTTTTTTACAGTTTTGGAAATTTCACCTGCATCTGTTTCTCTTCGGTCAACTTCATCATAAACATCCATCGCCAGTTCTTCAAACTGATGGTTACTTAGCTGGAACAAAATAAAGCAGTATTTCTGGTTCAGCTGAATAGCAAGTGAATAAGAATACATTCTGGAGCTCAGACCATATACAAAAATATCTCACCGACTGGAGCTTCTTCTTTGCTGCTTTAGCAAATTCTGACAAATCTAGGCTGCTTTAGACGAAAGAATTCAAATTGATTATTTTTCTGCTAACAAAATTCCACACAGAGAGACACATAATGGCAAAACTAACACACATACTTACTTATTTCTTATCCATCAAAAGAATGCAGCATAGGAAAAATAAGATTATTATTAATTTGTGAATGTCTATCGAACTGCCTTCATACAGAGCCAAAGTAAAACATGTCAACATCTGTGCATGACAACATCTTAACTAATAGATATAAAACAACATCCCTATGACTTAAAACACCCAGTACCTGTCTGCCATTTGTGGGATGATGAAGTGTTGTCCGTTTCTGTGATCTACAACACAACAAGGACATGGGACTGAGCTACCATAAAAAACAAACAAACAAAAAAAACATCGGCCCTAAAATGTCATGCAGCAGCTACGCTTGATGTGTCTACTTACCCGGTCGTCTACCACAAAGGTAAAATGTTAACCGGTCAGTGAGTTCATACTGTATCTCCACTAGCCTCTCTGCCAGCTCCTGGTGCCCAGCTTGTCTGCATGGATTAGGAATAAAAGGTCATGTTTCAGAAACATGGGACTTTTCTAAGGCTGAATGCTTCGGGTAGGACGCCATTGAATTGAAGTTTTTGTTCCAACTTTTGCTAAACTAGTCGAGCTGAGTCAGCTAGTACACTGTGCTACAGACTTTTTCCTTCCTCTCTTGCCTCACTTAGTCATACTCTTATTGAATTAGTCACACTGACATGATGTCAGTGTGTCTGTGTATAATGTCCATTGTAGAGTGGGGCGTGCTAAATATTTTAGCCATTTCAGCTGAAGACTGTTTGTTTCCAGTTTGTAATGAGGCCTGTTCTACGCATTAGTGAGAAAGTAACAAAACGCAATATTTCGTCATAAACACCTCAACATATAAGTAGTACACATTTTATACATGCACTAGTTTGTTTCTGTGTACGTGCTAAATTTTCCAAAGGATGGAAAAAGGATCATTTCCTGTAGCATAGCCCCCAGTGAGCTGGGCTGTTCTTAAGGTGCTGCTTGCAGACACACTACAGGTTATTAATGTGAAGCACAACAATATTGTGGCATCTCTAAAAGCATAATGTGTTATTAACATTAAATAGTGTTGGTACAGACACACCCCTACTCATACCCTTAAAAAAAAACATACTTTAGTAGAAGAAATAGCCAGTGTTATATTAAAAACATAGGCCCTGTTTTACCTTGCATAATCAATGGGGGTCTTTCCACTGGAGTCCAGAGCCCCGGGATCAGCTCCATAAACTGCCAACAGTTCTGCTTGTAACATTTGTCCTGCTTTTGCAGCTATGTGTAGTGGGGTATTTCCTTTCTCCTGTTGTCCCCCCAAAAGAAAAAACACAACGATGAAGCATTAGTATTATCACAACTTAAACAAAATGTTTTTGCTTATTCCACTACACTTACTGGATGGAAGAAGTTGGCCTGTGCTCCCAAAGATAAGAGTCTTAGGCAGGTCTCCAGGTTTCCAGTCCGAACACTGGAGTGGAGTTGCTGAAAGGAGATTGACTAGTAAGTTTGTTTTAATTTGACTGTTAAGTGCTGCATACACAGAGTGTTGGCTTCATGAGATACACCGACCCAGAACTGAGAGACATGATGCATTATAGTGCTGTAGATTTAGATTACTGCAGGTAAGAATACATGAGGGGCATCGTTTCAAAAAGGTGCACGGATAAGACAATGAGTTAAGACAAAAAAGAAAAAAAAATTGTAATTTGTAAAGACTGATAGTTGAGCTCAGACAGCCTATACTACTTAATAGTCATAGTCCTAGTGTGACAAGTACAAGGAAATGTAAGTGCAGTTCATCAAAACTGCATCAATGTATGAATATGCCAAACCACTTCTGAAATGAATAGGAAGTGGTCATATATCAAAGTTAAAAATCCAAAAAGCACTCATTGTGCTGTGGTAAAGCGAGTGCAAAATGTAGACACATGTCTGGCTTTATTTCACCACAACACCACTGGTTTCACAACAATTTTTGCATCGAAAATCTAAAAAATGTTGGCAGATGAAAAAGTGTGGAGAAGTTACCACAAAAAAAGAAAAACAGAATATTTCCTCACCTTGCTGAGGTCTTTTGCGGTTACACTGTCATCCTCCCGACAAGGCATCCGATGGACATACGCCAACATCTGATATTTGGCCTTGATGAACTCTGTCTTGTTGGGACTGCAACAAAACAACAAAAGATGCTCACATCTAAAACCAGGGACACTGAAAAACTGGGCCACCATTGCTATTTTCAAGACAAAACCATGTCAAATAATCAACTATATATGTTGGTTTAAAACAAACAACGTTGAAAACATATGTCAACTGGGGACGTCCTAATGTCTAATATTGAAATCAGACAAAATATCTTTTTGAGTGTAGAGTATTTGATTTGTGGCAAAGCAATTGAGTGATCCAATATACCACATCACAGGATCCAGGGTATCTTGCTGTCAATTAAAATCGACAAACATAAACTCAGATATGTCCATGCCTGAACCCCTCCCCCTTTTGCAATTAGGGTTACAAATTCTGGGAAAGACCTCCCAAACAAATCCAATCCAAAGTATATCTATCCTTCCTCTCTGTCTTGTGAGCACCTTTATCTCTGCTGATCTCTGTACAGAAACTACAGTACAGTATACTAAATTAGCAGGGAAGCCAACAACAAAGCCCAACTTTGTTTTTAACATTAATAAACAAGAAAACTCCACCCCATGTCCTAATGTCAATACTAGAATACTTCCTTGTTTTGTGAATGAAGGAAGTTGACGCAGCTGCAGGGTCTATGTTTGACCATTCAGTGCTGTTCAGCCCTGATAGTCCCTGAACAATGAGAAAGCACAATCCCCCAAGAAGGGGCCATTTTTATACACCTAAAAAACTATTCTTCAGGAACTAAATTTAGTTCCTCTGATTTGAAACACAAGTTTAGTTCCTGAGTTCTTCAAAAAGCTCTCTGCGGTTGAAACACCTAATAAGATAGCATTCATCTTGTAACTTTTAATTTAGAATCGAGGATAGTTGCCTCCTGTTTGGTGCAATGCATACTCTCTGTTTCTGTCTGGTGATTGAACGCGTTGGCTCTGAGCATGAGGGTCCGACTCAGCATGGCTGTGTTTATACGTGGCTGAGTGTTTATCTTCACTCCACCAGCCAGACACCAGACCGACACACTGTTTATACCTGGCAGTGAATGTGGGTGACTTCATCACATCTCTCATTTTGTTTTTTGTTATGAGTTACAGTACAAACCGCTCCATGACAAAAAAAAAAACATTCGCAGTAAAGGAAAAGCTGCCTAAACCCTTTAAAATGAACTTTCTTGTATAATCAGTTAATCAACAAAACTGTAAAATCAAGCCCATATAGCTTATTGTGATTAGAATACTGCCACTTGCATTTAACAATCATTTTATTGCGTATTTTCCCCATCTGCATCGAGTCCTTAAAGTTACTTGAGACGGACTGGCCATGAGTCATCGCTGCGGCGCAGAGGGCCGATTCTGCATGTTCACTGACCTTAAGTATGGAAATCAATTTAGCCAATAGAGCTTTATAACAAAGTGCAAACAAGCGCACCAAAATCAGCACTGACACATGAAAATCCTTAAAAGCACTTACTGAACTCTGTCCTGGGGGTTGGCTTTGCGCTTCCCACTCACTGAAGAGGAAGGGTCCAGAAGACTATGCTCCCATATGGAATTAGCTCCATTGCCATACAGCGTCTGGACCATCTAAAAAAAATGAACCCACATAACAGTTTACCTGAAACCATTGACATTATATATAAAAGGTTGTCCTCTAGTCATTTGGTGGTGTGTCTCATGGTGCAACCACGGTATCCAGATTCAAATAAACATCTTTTGCATCTGTGTGTTTGGTGCAGGGCTTGTGTCTCCTCACCTGTAACTGGGAGGATGGCCACGGAGAATGAGTCAGATGTCGGACTTGAGAGCTGTGTCGCCCCAGACCTCGATGGATGCTGCAGCACTCATCGCAGATCAACACACCCCTGTTAACAGAGGCCCAACGTGGCTCTAGAAGAAGATGCGAGGGTTAGTTAACCCAACAGGCTGACCTTAATAGAAGAGTATGACCTTACACACAACCTTAACCCGAGGCGTTTATGGGGAACCAGGCGAGGACATTGGCTAACACCTCTTGGTTGCTTGCTTCCTAATGTCTTCGACACATCCAAAAATTACAAATTCAAACCGGGGGACAATATTAGCTACTTGTTATCAGTCATTTTAGTCGTAGCGAGCCAGCTCGTTAAGCTAACCCATTCGGTGAAGCTGACACAACGTTATTGGCTGGCTAGTTAAACTATAAAAACATCACTGAAGACAATTCAAGCGAAGAGTTTAAGAATCAGACAAGTTAATGTGATTACACAGACGCGACATATTTTAACAAACGTTTCCAGCTCGAGAAACCTCACAGCATTTACAATAACCCATTTAGGTCATTTCTAGTGAGTTACCAGCGTTTGGTAACGTTAACTAGGTTAGTTTGGTTAACTAACTAACTGTACGTGAGTCGTAACCTTAGGAAGGGCTAGCTGCTTAGCTAGGCAGCTAAAGCTAGCTGGTTTGGCATCATTACCCGGGGCACTGCAATCAGCGCAGACCTCTCTGCTTCGTACTCGCTTTGACATCCCTCGACGTAAATCCTTAAGAGTCCAGGAAAGACAGATATTTGGAAAGGTACGTTACAACACAGCTGGACACAGATAAGACGGGATATTGCGCCCCAGCAGATTGTCTGTAGCGATTCTAGCAGGCAAAGCCACTGTGCTGGTCTGCCCTCCCTACTGTTGAACAAAGCGGTGTCCCATTCTAACACTCACACTGCCTCCTCGGGTGCTTCCTCGGGTGCTTCCTCGGGTGCCTCCTCGTCCGCTTCCTTCCTTGTTCCCCTTGATGTCTGTCCTATGCGACTACATTATTGACCGATTCGCCACTAATAAGGGGCAGTGTGATGGGTGCTGTGTGTACTGTATGTGGTATTAAAATGTGAGCTTAAAAATGTGACAATCTGGTGTTGGGTATTGATAAAAAAATAATTCAGAAAACTTTTACCAGCATGTCTCGAGTGCATTTCTGAGGTACTTCACTTGAACATGCAACTTTAAACTACTGCACATTTCAAAAGATTGCACTTTTTACTCCAATACAGTTATCTGACAGCTAATGTAGTTACTTTGCAGACTGATATTTTACAGCCTCAGCTTATAAAATATGAGACATTATTAAATATATATTATATATATATGTTCAATAACTTTGTTAAAATGAGTGCCCCATTGACCATCTACAACACTAACATGCTGATTTATAGCATCAGTTAAAATGATATCAATTGAACACTCTTTCTGCTTCATATTAGTACTTATCCTTTAATATTTAACTGCATTTTGCTGATTAATATGGATCTTGTGGGATTTTAATACTTCTTTAACCATAGATCTCCACCCACCGACACTGTCAAGGCATGTGCCAGTTCCACACATTTAATTTTCAACAAAAATGCATTTAGTTCATGCCTATGTATCAACTTAATTTCTAGGCTTTGTATTCAATCTTACTCATTTAAAATCCTCTTGTCCTCTTCTTCTCTGGTTCACTTTAGCATACACCTCTGCCTGTACAAAATACATCCTATCCTAGATCTCACTGCTTTCTATTTCACGTCAAATGTTACTTCAGTGTGATTGGACACATTTCATGGACTTGCACCTCTTCCGCTGCCTACTGCCGCGCCATCTCCAAGGAGTAATAAAGAAACAGTCATTGGACCAGTCGGCGGTTAAATAGGCAAAGTGTATCCAGCCCAGCACCAATCTGAAAAGCGTTTACTTATCATTCCCCTGCTGATGGGGGATTTAGATTGTGTGTTCTGTGGTCAGTGTGTTCATTCATGTTGGTTTTTATGAGGAAATGAGCTCGTCTGTCTGCAGTCTCCCTTCTCTTTTAATTTCAGGTTGTGGCCAGTATCAGTGTCATGAAGACTCATTGCCTCTTATTCAGTTATTAATTTGACCTACTGATGACCCAGTGTGACCCTAGAAAAAGGGTCTTAATGAATACAATTTTTTGGCATTGGTGCTATGCGAGATTTGGATTGTGCTGATATATCTTTTGTTTCTGCTCCATTTTCATTTGTGATGTTTTTACCCTTGTTTTGGTAGAGTGTCAGTTGAGGTTTAAGGTTTTTATACTGTAACCTAGAGTGATCAACCCATGACAAAGACCAGAGTAGGCAAGGGGGGGGGGGAATATGCCAATATATGGCCTACTGTCAGATGATATAAATGTGTCTACTGCAGTAATTGTTCCATGCTATTAATACCATGTTACTGTAACTATCCTGTTAATATCTCTGAGTGTATTAGACCATTGTGGTCATTGTGGAGCAGGACTGACAATTCAGTGACAACACTGGATCTTAATATGGTTTTTATTATGGTTATTATACCCATTAACAATCTCGCAGTTGATTTAGAAACAATAAACATTATATCACAATATACAGTAAGTATTGATACTGTGCTATAAACTCTGTATACCATACACCATAATATAGAAATGTATCCATCCAGTGAAGAGGGTGTACAAAATAAGAGGAACACCCTTTAATGTAATTCAGTGCAACAAGCTACGGCCATGAATACTTGAACAACACCTCTTCTGTCTCCATAAAACCCAACCATTATGTGTCTCAGCCACATTAAAATTCCAATGTGATCATCGGGATGACCATAATGAAGTACAGCTTTGCCAAAGCTGAATGGTTTACATATCACTACACTATACAACTTATAAATAAAATAATATATGCAATAGGATGAATATAGTTTAACAATAAAATGTAATGTTAATGGTGGGGTGGTGAATGCATTAAGTGTTTCCGTTATTCACTTTCTGTAATTGTCATAATTAACTCAATGAGGTCTTGATTGATTTGACCTGGGGCTCATTAACTTTAATTGTCATGCATTGGGGGAAAATGAGGCTTTGAAGATTTTATGGATTAAAGTGACTGAAAAACAAAAAAAACACCAAATTTTTTTTTTTATTTCATTAAATGTTTTTTTCATATATATATATATTGTGTATATTATATAGGGAGTGGGGGGGATATGTGTAGGTGTAGGCGTTGTATGGTTTAACGTATAGGCTACTGTGACTTTAAAGGGGTGTTGGTTGGCTGAGAGGTAACAGATAGGTTTAATTTAGTCGCTAAGAACACATCGTGCATCTCGGATCCTCTCTGCCTTTTTAACCACTGTTTGTCTACGTTGCTTTCAAGACCCTTCTCCAAAAAAGCCGTGCGTGTCAGTGGCTGCACCCTGCACCCGGAGCGATGGGAGGTACATTATTATTTTCCTGTTGTGAGCCTATCATCATTTATTTCCGATACTGCAAATCTGATCAACATATTCATCATGTTTTCTCCCGTGACAGAGGCCGAGACGCGTCAGAAACTGCTGCGCAATGTAAAGAAAGAGGTTCGTTGCATTTATTTTTCGTTTCTCGCTCATCACAGTTTATGTTTACTGGCTCTGTAAGCGTAGACAGTGTGTGTGTGTGTGTGTGTGTGTTTCGGGTTTGTGCCACGACTACGCCACAGGCCTGTTTATCATAAAATGTATACATACAATTTATACATTATTAACATGAATAAGAGGAGATGCAATTGGGCTGCCAGTGTAATGGTAGACTGGTGTGTTTTTTGACTGCTGTTGGACTGGCGTAAAGATGATGATGGTGATGATGATGACGATGATGGTGATGATGATGATGACGACAATGATACAGATGATGATGATCATTTTTTATAGGGGGGGCGAAACTACACATTTAAGATGCAGATGCATTTGTTTCTAACCCATGCATAACCTGTTTTCTAATATCCTGGAACAGTCTCTCTCTCTCTCTCTCTCTCTCTCTCTCTGAAGAAATCATTTAATAAACTGACAGCCCTTTAACACACCATCTTTGTATCCAAAACTCAAAGGTGCCACCTTGGCCTCTGTTTCATTAGTGTGTGCTCAAGCCAACCATTAAATGCAAAAAGTCCAACCCAAGCTGGGTGATTTATCCCTGAATTCAGGGCAATTTGAATATTAATCTACATAGAAATTAAAGAGGGCACACCACAGGAACCTTCCAAACTGCTCAGTGACTCTCTCCAGGGAGAGAAAACAGGATGTTTTATTCATTGCTGCGAAAGCCGGGTACTTCCAGGCTTATCGTGTCCGTGCTCCCCCTCACCTGTGACTCATTGCCTCTCAAACATCCATGACTCTAGTGCTACATCCTCCATCCTGCCGCAAGGAGGGGCTTAGCTGTGATATATAGATTTAAAACACAGCATATAAGTAAAATAATGGATTTTTGGCATTTTAATTTCTTTAATACAAAGCAGAATTTTCAGGTTGTTTATTTGTATGTAGAACAGGTACACAAACAATTTTGTGGTCTACAGACATCTCATCTGTAATTTTACAATTCTGGACAATAGAATTCCAATAAACACATAAAATGGTAGAAAATTCTCACCGTAGTTTATGACAGGAGTGTTGTGGTACACTACTCTCTCACTCTGTGGACACAGCAAAGAATCTAACATTAAATTCAGTCAGTTTTGCAGTTAAATGTTGCATTGCTTGTCATCAACCATAAGTACTTCGTAGAACATGACCTTTTCCAAAATGTTAGGGTTCACAAGCAGCCTACATTTGCTAAAGTAAGTAAAATGTCAACCTCGAAAATTGTATTCATTGATGATGATGATGATGAGAGGATTGACAACAAGCGTTTTATACAAAGAAATGGAGGGCAACTTAATCTATTTATTATAAATTAACTTAAAGGGGCAGTCCACCAATTATCCACATCCAATTCATTTTCATAGTCATAAGGAGTGTCTTCTGTGTCTTTGGAAGAGCTTCGTTAAGTCTGAGAAAAATACTCCTGAGGATGTCATCAGGGTTTTCTCAGGTTATCTTGGAGACTGCAAATGTATAGATGAGAGGCTGAATTCTAAACATGATATTAAGATGTGTGTATTCACTCAACAGGGAGGATCCCGAGTTGCATTATGGGAAGTGTTTGGCCGTTAACAAGTTAAAAGTCTAGATTTTTTGCTGCGTTGATTTGATACAATTTTTAAAAAATCAGTTTTTTGCTAGTTATCTGATATCTGTGCCTGGTATGTGCCTTACAATAATAACTTTCTCTAAGGATCAGTCCTAGGTGTGAAGAACCAAATTCCTCTGCAACATCCAGAAAAGTAAAAAACAAAAAAAAGGCTAGAGGCAGAAATTGACTAGTGAGCCAGACAGATGAGTTTACACAATAAATAAATAATTAGATTTTTTTGTTATCCTCATGAATGTGTTGTGGGATTGTACTGCTCTTTCAATGCTCATCATTACCTCTTGTACGATATTCCCGGATTGCTTCCTCTTGTGCTCCTTGTTTTGACTCCCTGTCACCTTAAGTAGCTGTGTCGGACAGATTAAGTCTTCTCTCACCACCTCTCTCTCTTAGGTGAAACAAATTATGGAGGAGGCAGTAACGAGGAAATTTGTGCACGCAGACAGCAGCCACATCATATCCTTCTGTGGTAAATGTATTTTATTACTATTGTGATTGTATTGTACACTAAGCCAGCTTTCGTGGGCAGGATTTTCCAATATTCAAGGTACATAATAAAGGCCTCTTCCATCAGCTTTAATAGTTAACATTAACTTAAGAATGGGTATCATAGGCTACACAAGAGGGGGGTAGATAAACTAAACAAGATAGAGAACTTTTGTGGCATAATTTTGTTTGCTAATTTCAGAAATTATAGTGCAGGACATGGGGTATTAAATGGTCACAGTATTAGCTACAACCCCATTTTCATGTACAGTGCAGAATGATGTTTGACATCAGTTTGTCGAGCCGTCACCTCCTACGAGTTCGTCCTCACAGTGCAAAATGGTCCTTTACAGTCTGTTTGAGCACTGTAAATCCTAACGATTTTTTTTTCATAATGCTATTAGTCATGTCTATTTATATTTAATAAGGTGGATGGATGGATATGTATTAAAGTAGACTAACACCCTTCAAAGGTGTTGATAGGACTGAGGCGTGTGTGATTCACATCCCTCATATCCTAGCAACTGTAGACAGTGTTGGGCAAATTTCTATGTCTATTTCTACACCTGTGCTTGCCTTTCACCTGTTTTTTTATTATTTCTTTTTAAATATTAAGGCTCAAGGCTTTCACAATGGGGAAATTTTAGCTACTGTGTGATATATGAGATCAAAACAAAACTCAAGGACAAATAAAAAGATTCCACCTCGAGGAAACAAAAACAATAAAATCGAATTGAAAAAAAAACTAAATCAAATAAAGTAGTAATATAGTTTGTGTGTGTGTGTGTGTGTTTGTGTGTGTATAGCTGTAGTGGAGGCCTGCATGCTACACGGACTGAAGCGTCGTATTGCAGGTCTGCTGTGCAGTAACAAGGTTGCAGCACTCTTTATGAAGGCGGCAAAAACCTTTTCGCCTGCTGAGGAACTCTGCCACAAGGTCCAGGAACTGGAGCAGCTTATCGAAAACAGGTGAAATAAAATCATTATATGCATTCTTTCTCTACTATATAACTCTCCCCTTTACATTCTACTTTCATGTGCTATGGTGCCTCCTAATGACTCACCCTGTCCTATATGGCTGTCTCATTTGTTGGGTTTTTTTTCCATTTCTTAGCAAGCAGAACAATTCTTCACTGAGTAATGACCGCAGTCTGCAATCCAAGTTGGCCAACCTCCCTCCTCAGGCACTAAAACACCTGTGGATCCGGACTGCACTGATGGAGAAGCTCCTGGACAAGATTGTCCTGTACTTAGTAGAGAACAGCAGGTACTGTTATACATTGTTAAACCCAATTATAAGTTACTGGCTATAGAAGGTTATGTCCTCCATTTCTTATACATTCACGTTTACCAATTCCTTTACTCGATCTCAAAGAACAGCCTGATGGTGTCTGTTTCTTGTATTCTGCAGCTCAACCCCCCCCCCACCCCCCCCGTGAATGTTCTAGAAGTTTTCATCATTTTTGTAATTTATGCAAAACATTTTATTCTTATAAATGTTCTCCTTTTGCACAGGCTGTATGTCAACATCTTATGTTGTTATTTTACAGATATTATGGCATGCAAACAGAAAGTTGGGTTTAATTTCAAAATCCTAAAATGTTCTACATATTTTAAATATTGTTTCCTGCAGTGCCTTCTATGAGAAAGAGGCCATGCTGATGGATCCTGTGGATGGACCAATTCTTGCATCTCTATTGGGTATTTATAAAGTGCAATAACCTACACATCAACAATCAAACCCTTTATTTTGGCCTTACAGTAATAACTTTCAGTTTATATTAATTTTTACAGTTGGCCCTTGTGCTTTGGAGTACACCAAAGTTAAGACTGCAGACCATTTCTGGACAGACCCGTCTGCTGACGAGCTTGTGCAGCGGCATCGCATCCACAGTGGCCACTGTCGGCAGGATTCACCCTCCAGACGGCCTGCCTTGGTTAGATAGCGAAGGGTTTAAATGATTTTAATCAAATAATCATCTATAAACTACTATATGCAATATCAGATGTGTACTACTGTCTCGTTAACCTGTATCAGATCCAGAAGAGACAGTCCAGTGGTAGCATGGATGATCGCCCTCTCATGTGGGTGAGGGACTATGTTGAATCACTGCACCAAAACTCCAGAGCCACACTTCTGTTTGGAAAGAACAATGTCCTGGTGCAGCCGGTACGTGTTTCCAGTATATCCTTCCTTTTTAATACAATAATAATACAATCCTAATACCTGCTTTACGAGAGGCTTGTTTGCTTCTTGTTGCTTGTTTCTGTGTATTGATTTATACCCCAATTATCTAAATAGTATTGAAATCAGACATGTTGTGGTTTGAAAGATGTTACTTGTGTGTGCAGAGAGATGACATGGAGGCCATCCCAGGCTACCTTTCTCTTCATCAAACTGCAGACCTCATGACACTGAAATGGACGCCCAATCAGCTGATGAATGGCAATGTGGGGGAGCTAGATTCTGAGAAAAGGTTAGGCCAACAGACCACAATCTAATAAAATCAAATTCTTGTTTTTGCACTGGTGACTCAATGCCTCCTATTCTCTCATATTTCTTTCAGTGTGTATTGGGATTATGCTATGACAATTCGTTTGGAGGAGATTGTGTATCTCCACTGTCATCAGCAAGGTACACTGATCCTCTCATATTAGGTAACTGAAGTAGGAGTTTTATTTATCTTGTTTTTTACTGTGTTCATTTCTTTAGTAAACAGTGGCGGGACAGTAGTTTTAGTGAGCCAGGATGGGATCCAGAGACCTCCTCTACATTTCCCCAAAGGAGGCCACCTTCTCCAGTTTCTCACCTGCCTGGAGACTGGCCTACTACCTCATGGACAGCTGGACCCACCACTATGGAATCAGAGAGGAAAGGTAAACATGATTACGCACTAATAAAATACTAATGTATCCACTTATATTTTATTTATACATATATATAAATTCAAGCAATCATGCTACATTTACCTACAATTAGACCTGTTATAACAATTCTTCATATACTATTCAGGGTTAGCATAGATGAGTACATTGTATTTTTCATTCACAGGGAAAGGTTTTCCCCAAACTGCGAAAGAGGAGTCCACATGGCTCATGTGATTCAGTATCAGACAAGGAAGATGATGAAGCAACCGATTATGTGTTTCGAATCCTCTTTCCTGGCATTCAGATGGAGTTCAGTAAGTGTCTTCAATCTTCCTCGTCTTCCTCCCTGATCTAATCTAATGAAGCATGATCGGAGATTACATCTACGATTACATTATTCTCTTAATACTGATTTACAGTTTAGACAATTTCACTTTAGATAAATCTGTTTTCCCTAGGCACTTGCTCAATGTACATCTTTCTAATTAATTTCTCTCTAATGTTAAACTGCTACATTTCATATTTTTTTTTCCTGCCTATTCAGTGCCTGTGTGTCCATTTCATATTTAGTCCCGTCGACAATCAGGAGACTTTGCATGGACATACAGTAATTTGTCTGCCACATCTTCATCTCCATCTTCTCACTTGGTTTGTTTTTTCCATGTTTTATTTAAACATTTTTTCTAATTATTTGCAGACATGCACTTTTTATGTCCAAATCAATTGGAATTTCATCTGGTTTTACATACTCATGATGATAGCAGCAATGATAATGGCTATTATGCTGTGCAGTGGCCCTGGAACTGATGGACCAGGGTGTGAACATGTGGCAACCAACACCCAGAAAGTCCTCGTGTTCTTCCTGCTCACAGAATGGCTCTTCTGATGGCTCTCTGCCTAATGGCTGTAATCAGGAAAGGTAAGTATTTCCTAGGGACACAGGCTCAAATCTAAATTCAGTTTAGGCCTATCGGCTAAATTAGCCATTTCCCTTCCCTACCAGGGCTCCCTTAAAACTCCTTTGTGACACCATGAAGTACCAGATAATCTCCCGTGCTTTCTATGGATGTGAGTACAAACAACTGTGTGACTTTAATTCATTGTGGATTCATTTCATTGCTCCGGGTAATATGAAAACTTTTATTTTCTCTCCAGGGCTCGCATACTGCCGTCATCTGTCCACAGTTCGTACCCACCTTTCTGCTCTGGTCAACACCACTATAGTTGATCCTGATGTGCCCAGTGATGCCCGAGGAGGCCTATCTGTGGAGGTCTGGGGCAGGTTCCTCAAGGACAGCTCTGTAAGATTAACAATCTGGTTTTAATTCATTACACTATTAAATAGTTATTGTAAGTAGTTCGTACTGATAAATACCATTCCTAATGTTGTTCAGGCCTACGAGGAAAAGGAGATACACAGGCTTGTGTATTTTGGTGGTGTGGCTCCTTCACTACGCAAAGAAGTGTGGCCCTTCCTGTTGGGACACTACCAGTTCACCATGACTGAGAAATGCCGACTAGAGGTATTTCTATGTGCTGTCACACTGTATAATTCTGAGATCATAAGGTACACATATGCACCACAGGGTATGCAGCGATCTTCGTTTACGCAAGGTTTCTGTGTCAGATTGATGAGCAGATGCGGACCATGTATGAGCAGACTATGAAGGAGTGGCAGGGTTGTGAGGCCATTGTTCGTCAGAGGGAGAGAGAGAAACACGCTGAGGCCATTGCCAGGTGTTCATCTGGAGCCAGTGCGGAAAGAGGACCAGTGCAGCGGGACTCCACCATCAGTACAGATGCAAGTTTGACCTTTTAGAGTAGAACATGCGTAGAACCTTATGTAACCATTGTCACAACTGACAAACCCATTATTAGGAAACTGTTTTTTTGTGTTATGAGGAAACTTCTGAGCAAGTTGGCTGACAGTTGTGCTTTTGGTCTCTTGTGTGATGCTTTTCCCCACTTTAGTCGTCTCTAAGTAGCAGTTCAGATCAACAGAATGCCCACTCACAAAGTGATTCCAGCAGTAGCGCACAGGTAGTTTTTGAGTGTAAACATCACAACAATAATGATCTCTAGTAAAATACCATACCAGTGTTTATTCATGTCTTAGCCCACTTATTTACAACTTATATAGAGTTTACAATTTTTCAAAGCTTACCATAACTTTTTATTTGAGATTGATTTCTCATAACTTATGGTATGCCTTGGAATTTTTTCAGCAATAATGTAAAATATAAATGATTTTTAGCTAATGGGCTAACACATGCAAAAACCACTAGTGTAATCCTTCAACATTTGTCCATTTCATTGCTAAAAGATACAAAATGCATTGCATGTTTACCATTTTCCTTTGGTTACCAGGTATTTGGATCGGTTGAGGCAGTGAATCAGATTGAGACTGAACTCAGGGCTGAGGAAGGAGAAATACAGCACACTTGTCCTCCGAAGGATATCACAACTGGCACTGCAGACACCCCACAGCTTCCCTCCTGCAACCCCTCATCCCCATCAAATCAACATCCCGGGCCAGAAAACAGCCCTCCTGCAACAGAGTCAGCTGTTGGATCTACCACCTCTCATCAGTCAGTGGAAGCATCAGAAGTCTTAAATGAGAAAACCACAACTGAGCCAGGAGGGGAGGATGTAATTCATCCAGTAGCAAAGGACAAGGATTCAGAGACAAAGATGGAAACAGTTTCAGAAAGTGAGGTGGTTAAGGACTGTGAAATCACTAAGTCACAAGAGACATCTGAACCTGACAAAAAACCTGAAGTAGAAGAAAACGATATAACAACAAATGAGCAATCTGCATATTTAAAAGCAGTAGACACAAATATGAATTTAAGATCTGTTCCAGAGAAAACTAATGTTCTAAAGCTAGAAACAGAGATTCATAACGAATATTTCCAAGCACCTCCACTTGGGCAGACCTTGACTTTTCAAGCACACAAGAGCAAATCTGATCTGGAAGTGGAGCCAGTATGTCCACCCACAGCCGGAAAAGATACTAATTCACCAAGTGAAATAAAGCCAGAGATTTCTGAAAAACCTGAAACAACCCATTCACAAATGTCAAAGGCCTGCACTACAGAGTCAGAAAGAAAGGACACTGTAGCAACCGTTTGTGACTTGGCTGAAACCAAAAAAGCTGCAGAACTTCCATTTGAGAAACCTGGTTCAAATTCACCCGTCAGACAAGTACTGAACGCTCTTCAGTCAGCGTCAAGGGGGAGCCTTTCATTGTCGTCCCACTCTCGGCAGTCCCCAGACACGGCAGATTCAGATGACTCTCCTTCTGCCCTGGAAATGGAGGACATTCCTGCAGGGATAACATGTGTGACCTCTGAGGAAATCAAGGCCAGGCCTTTGGCAGGTCTTGCTGCACCACCCGTCTCCTTTGCACAAAGAGAGAAAATGGCATCAGAAGAACTTGTCCTAGATCACCATCTGGACACAGCTTATAACACCAGTCCTGAGGGCACCGACCTGGGCCTTTCTGAAGAGGAGCCTGAGATGGAAAATGTGCTCACTGAAACAGAGTCTGCAGATGTGGGAGGAGACGCCAAAGACAACGAATCCTCAGAAGAACAAACTTATTCTGTAAGCAGTGCACATGATATTCAAACATTCCTCTTCATTTAATCATAAGCATGCAATAACGTAAGTCCTTATTGTCTTTGTAGCGAGAAACACTGGACATGTACTTGATCAATTTACATCGCATTGACAAAGATGTCAGACGTTGTGACAGAGCATATTGGTACTTCACTCCTGAGAACCTGGACAAGCTGCGTAACATCATGTACAGGTACATATGTCACCGTGCTGAATATCTCTGAAGTTCGTCTCAACCCAAGACAAAAAAAACCTAAAAAATCTGTTTGTGTTTACAGTTACGTGTGGCAGCATTTAGATACAGGTTACGTCCAGGGCATGTGTGATCTGCTGGCCCCCCTACTGGTTATTCTGGACGACGGTCAGTGAAACTTTTTTGGCACAGCGACTTTATTCAGGTATATGTACGTTTTGCTGCCTAAAGTAACCTGTACACGTGCTGTTGTCGTCCTGTTGTGTGTGTGTGTGTTGGTGTGTGGTGTGTTGTGTGTGTGGGTGGTGTTGTGTGTGTGTGTGTGTGTGTGGTGTGGTGTGTGTGTGGTTTGTGTGGTGTGTGTGGTGTGTGTGGTGGTGCTGTGTGGTGGTGTGTGTGTGTTTCCCAGAGGTCATGGCATTTAGCTGCTTCACTGAACTGATGAAGAGGATGAACCAGAATTTTCCTCATGGAGGTGCCATGGACTCTCACTTTGCCAATATGCGTTCTCTTATCCAGGTATGTACATGTGTGCACAAACAAATGTATGCATGCATGCAAAAAGATATATAGACTATAGAGTAATGATGATGATATTTTGTCTTTATACTAATAGATCCTGGACTCTGAGCTATTTGAACTGATGCAGCAGAATGGAGATTATACTCACTTCTACTTCTGTTATCGTTGGTTTCTGCTTGACTTCAAAAGAGGTGACAGGAAACGCAGGCGCCGTGATATTTGCTTGAATCAGCCATTAAAGAGAACTTAGCATTTTACATAACATGATACCGAATGTAATCTGATTGCTTTCTGTTTTTCTGCACAGAAATGGTGTACGATGATGTGTTCTCCTTGTGGGAAACGATCTGGGCAGCCAAGTACACTTCCTCTGAGCACTTTGTGCTCTTCGTTGCTCTGGCACTTGTGGAGATGTATAGAGATATCATCCTAGAAAATAACATGGACTTCACAGACATCATCAAGTTCTTTAATGGTAAGATGCCATAAGAGAAATACAAACGCTACAATATGGGGGAAACAGTGTTGTAAAACAATTGTCAGTTGATTAAGATGATATTTCAGCTATGATAATAGAGAATACTTTCAAATTATATAAAAAAAATGTAATATGAAATTTAAAGATAAAATGGTTGAGTTTACTCATTCAGTATTAAAGAAAAAATTAACTGTTAGTTTGATTATTACTAAGCGATTTACTTGTGATTTTTCACATTCTCCTCTCAGAAATGGCAGAGCGACACAACGTCCCGCAGGTCCTGATGATGGCTCGAGACTTGGTCCACAAAGTGCAGACACTCATAGAAAACAAGTGATGCAGGATGCTGCTGTTCTGCCGCTGCTGCTCTCATATTTCTCTGTGCTAAATTGTTTCAAGATACTGACACAACCACATAATAGTCATTTATTCAGGAGGACAGGAATCAATGTTAATTAAAAGCAGTGATTGGTAATTACTGAAAAGACAACTGGTCATTAAAACTGCTAGTTATTCTAAGATAGTTGTGTAACAACTTCTTTCCGGTTGCTCCTCTCTGTATTCGGGAGATGCAACTATTGCCAGTCAATTTATTTTGAAGGTGTTATTGTTCACCTAGTGAATGTACCCTTGTTGAAACTGCTTCAGGATGTTATTTATTTTGCCTTAAATTTTGCTATTTTTTCAGGGATGTTAAAGCAACCAAATTCTTCACTGTATTGTTACATATTCTACCAGGTTAATTTTGTTCAGTTACTCCTACTATACATATTGTGACACACTTGAATATATTTTCAGTATTATTATTTCGCTGAAATTGTAGCTACCACGATTACACATCTTGTGATGCACTTGAATATATTTTCAGTAATAATATCTGGCATTATTAGATGATTTGGTACATTAGAGGAGGTTTTGTCCTAAGTAGCATGTGTGGCTTGCTTCTTAATAGCCATTTTGAGGACCATTTACTGTCTTCTCTGAGGCTTGTGGCCCCCTTCCTGTGTTTGCCTCTGGTGCACACAAGCTTGCAGGATATCCAGGCCGAACCTGTCAACTCTGTGCATGATTGCACATAGTTTGCATATACCATATCATCCTTTCCTTTGGTACCCAACCAAGTTCTCATACTGTGTGCTCCTTCTATCTCTGACCTCCTCTTTGCATTGATAAAGGTGTGATTTAGTCTGCTTAATTTCATCCTTTGCCCCCTCTGCTGGGTTTTATGTCGGTGCATACCAATGCTTCTCTGGAAGCAGCTCGTCCAAATGGTTAATGCAGTACATTCTTCTTTCCTTAAATAACACAATGCTGCTCAGGCTGAAGAATTAAGCTGCTGGGTCTCACGACATTAAGACAGTACAGTGCTAACAGATTCTACTTCCTTGCAGCATTGGTAAACTCACAGGGGAGTGCAGTGAAAGCAGCATGCTTCCTTTGCACGTCCCTCTTTCACTGTCACCTTGAAATCAGTTTGATGGTTTTCTGCCTCCGTCTTGCCCGGCCAATCTCGGTTGCCTTGTCTTTGACACACAAGTTAATTGTTTTTATATGGCCAAACTTTTGGCAGCAAGTCTTACAATAATTGTTGATATTTTCTGGAGTATTGTGTGCATTTCTCTTCATTATTTCCTCAAGATTCCCATGTTCAAACTAGTTGAAAAGAAGCTCTGTTTTCCAACCACTTAACCTCTCATTTAAGCCAGTATCACATTCATGGATTCAATCTGGTTCGTCCTATTTCTTATTGGACACCTTTCCTTACTTATATTTTCTTTCCTGTAAAGCTAGTGTGTACCTCCTTCCTTCATTCATTTGAAAGAGCAGTCACTTTGTGCTCAGCCTGCTAAATTTTATCTGGTGCCCTCCGGGACCTTGGGGGACACTTTCTTTTTGCCCAGATATACTACTGCACACCTCTTAGCTCAAACTATTTACATGGCTAAATACCAGCATAAATTGTATGTCAGAAAATGTGATTTATCGGTGCCACACGCAAAATAGCCAAAACACACCCATGTTCGGTTCACTGTGGCTTAAATTCCAGTATTCCAGTGTTTTGATATCACTGCTAATGTGTCTCCATATGATCTTCTAAAAAAAATTATCTAAAGTATTGCTGTGTGTGTATTGCTGTTTGTTGTCAGAAGATTAACTGTATACAATGTGTTACAGTAAAGAAACTAAGCTAGTACATATTTATTAAATGCAATACAATGTCTGTATATGGGCTTTATCTGATTATAATGAACTGAAAGATAAAAATATGCCATTGGAAATATATTTTTATTTTTTTCTGTCTTCTCAAATTGTCACCTGGTATAATTCATTTATTGCGTATTAAAAAGTTATATTTTGCATTCCATGTGCCTGATTGATTGACACCTTCAAACCTGACACTCATAATGTACTAAATATATACAGTTGCGCACCTAAATTCTAGTTATATGTAAGACTATAGAGATATATCCACACAAGTCTGACAAGTAAAGCAAACACATTGAATTTCTTTGCCTTCTACATCATGTCTTATATTTCTGTAGTTAGTGCCACTTTTGGTGCACTTGGAGTGACAAATTCACAGTCCTCACACTGTGCATGAATTCCAAAGTTCATCTGAAGTTAAGACAATTGAGTTTTTCAATTTTACATTAGTTCAACGAGACCCTGATACTAGCCTTGCCTGAACTTAGAACATTTTTAATGTTACATTTGGAAATGTTACAGTAGTGCTGTTCTGAAACAAAACAAAAAATTAAACCTATCCGCTACTTTGAACTGAGAGCTTGGACCAGTGACATTTCACCATCCACTACTTGTTAATAGCAGTGGCAACATTCACACAAGAGGGTTACGTTTCAACCACACTATACAGTATCTTAGATCAAGTTTGAATAGGCTACATTTCAGGATATACTGCATGTTCACAAACCAGTGTGGCATGTTTGACAACCTTCTGCTCTAGTAATGTACCTGTCTTGCTTTCATTGAATTTACAGTAAAATCTTTGCTTATTTTAAAATATAAATGAGCTTTTTCCATAGAGGACATTTTTTTACACGCCACTGTCATAGGTGTCAATGATAAAATGAATAATATCTGCTTCATCCTTTTGGAAAGTTCACTTCTATGAATATAGTAACGATCTATTAAAAACAAGTTTTAGAACGAGGAATGAAACAGTAGTCACAGTAAAAGTTTGCATTTTATTGATAAAGAAAACAAAAACAAAAACAACACTAGAGATGCATACAAATTAAAGTCCACCTACAGGCCACCTCGGTCAGAGGTTCACACATTAAAAAAATAATCTGACAGGTGAGGCTCACAGTCAACATGTGTCACTACTCTAAAAGGCCCACTAATTTAATTCAATTGTTTTGAATCAGAAGAGGATATCGATAATCTTCACAGGTTCTTAGATTGGCAAAAAATTCATTAAAGCTACAGAAATTTGACACACAAAAAGGAAAATTTTGTCCGAAATTTTAAGAGGCAGTATGACCTTTAACCTGATAGCTGCAGAATTGCGTAATTTGTTTTGGACAATATAACATTACGTGTGTGTACTGGTTTCCGGTCAAGGTTTGACATCACAACCCAGGATTTCTTTATAAAAGAAACCTCCAATATGTTATACAATGATCAAATACGTTTACCTCGCTAAGAAAAAAAACGAAACAACAATCCCGCTTCCAAATAACACATATGGGTCTTTCATGCGCAAAGAAAAAACATCTTTAAGGCTGTGGGGAGGAGCAGGGTGTGTTCAGGCGATCCTGACCATGGAATGTATTGTAGCAAGAAATGTATCCTATGAGGAGGCCTGGGGTTAAAAAATAAAATAAAAAGCAGAATTACAAAACCTTTTTCCTCCATTCCTCTATAAATGATGGGTCTTTCTACCGGTAATGGCGCGGCGGTGGGCTATGGTGCTGTGGAGGGTGCCTCCTGGGGGGTGGACTATGCCGCGACATGGCATGGCGTGGAGGTGACTGGTAGCGCGGAGGGGGGGATCCTCTGTTATGGTAAGGAGGTGAATAGCGACCTCTTGATCTGGAGCGGGAACGCGACCGACCCCAGTTGGGGGTGCCCCTCTCTTCAAAGACGCGGATGTAAGCAGTCTCGCCCTACAAGAAAAAGGGGGGGAAAAAAAACATGACGTTTATTCCTTTACCCGTATAAAGAGTAAGGGACAATTAAATCCCATCAGCACTGGAACTCACTTGATGTGAGCGGAACTCGGTCCGATCCAGTCTGCGCAATGCGTACTCCATGTCTTCTCTACGGAGAAATTCCACCACACCCTCTCCGTCACGCTGCACATCTGCAAAACAAACGTCTCCTGCCTCACGCATGTGATCCTTCAGATCCTGCCAGCTCCCAGTTGGAGGTAACCCTGGAATTGGAAAAACACAAATGTGATGGAGACAAAAACTTACTTCCTTGCTTTAAATCAACTGGCACTTTAAACCTCAAAGCATTGCTAGGACAGGAGGTATTTTTTGAGGCAAACAACACCTTAATTAATTGGTTTTATGAAATCTGAGCCAACAGCGATTGAAATTTAATAGCTAGATGTAAATGGACGGAGAAGTGGGAAGAGATTGGATTTGCATGCACTTACTGTAAATTTGTATAGGAATGTTTTCTCTTAAAAGGTAACTACAATATTCTGCACACAGTGGAAGCTCCTGGATAATATCATAATACTACAGAATTACTTTACAGCCACCTTTGACCTCATTCCTCACAAATCACAATTGTCTATCATTGTAATTGTCTATCAGGTATCTGAGCTTCATGGGATGTTGTTATGGAGAAGATGCCACACACAGCCTTGATATTAATTCTAGCATAATAAAATGCTTGATAGTTGCCATTGTAAATAAAAAAAACACTGCATCATAGTGACTGAACTGTTCACCAACTGATACACACGACCCAAAATTGAATTCAACAACAACCCAAAGATATTCTTTGTAATTACTATTAGCTGATTGTTTCTTATGGCAATACTCTACGGGACTTGGAGTGTTTAGGTGCACTGTCTTTCATTGTTAACTTTTTCCTCCAACACACTAAATTATTGTTACTACTGAAAAACTAACTCAGATATTTATTTCAATCCCAGGGTTGGAAATGCTCAAATGGACAGCCACCTTAACTCTCAAAAGAGAAAATGAAAAAGAATTTTACATATGGACCTACTGTAGCCACTTCTCCAATAATCCTTTGTATGGTACGCTGACTGATAGTTAAGGAAACCTCCCCAAATTCCACAGGGGACGGCCCCGACGACAATTATTATTATCGTCATTATAAAGCCGTGCCCGTTGGAATTTCAGGGTAAGCCTTGCAGATAAAAAAAAGACAATGTACTTGTAGTTATTGGGTAAATGTTTCAGAGAATGCCAATATTTTTAGACCAGAACCCCAGAGGATTTTATTTCCAGAAATCTGCACTAATATGACCGGTCAAGTCAGGCAAGTATATAAACCTTAGACTTTAAGGGGGTTGGTCTTGGATAATCAGTCGTGCTTGTATAAACATGCCTGTATAAACATGAAATAAAATGTAGCACACAACAGATAATGATATACAATGACAAAATTACACCTACCAGTCACTACAGTCGGTGTTTGGGATTATGCAGCCAACATGACCGGTTTCAGTTTAATGTTTTGTTTTTCATGACTTAAGGAGCTGACTTGACCTCATCCACTTAGTCCCCTTGACCTCCAGTCCGCCATGAGAGAGAGAAACATATCTGCCTACGACTCATGACGTCCTCTACTAGTCCCTTTGTCCTCCAGTCCACCACGAGAGAGGAAGAGAGAAACATATCTGCCTACGACTCATGACGTCCTCTACTAGTCCCTTTGTCCTCCAGTCCGCCATGACAGAGAGAGAAACGTATCTGCCTACGACTCATGATGTCCAACTACTAGTCTCCTTGTCCTCCAAATCCGCCATGAGAGTGTGAGAGAGAAACATATCTGCCTACGACTCTTACGTCCACCATCCTACCAATCCCCTTGACCTCCAGGATGGCGTGAAAGAGAGAAAAATATTAACTGGCTATGACTCATGACGTCCACCTACCAGTCACTATGACCCGGAATTCAGATCTTCGAGTTGGGGGTCCAAACCGTCCCCTAGGTCCTCCTCCTCCTCCACCTCCTCCTCCACCACCACCTCCTCCTCCTCCTCCACC